ATAGAGTGTGGAATTCTCTCTAAAATTTCTGTCATTTCATCCTTCCCTCCACTCGTAAACAGATCCTTAAAGTACTCAGAAAGTTCAGTCACTACCTCCTCTTCATTAGCAGGCCAAGATCCATCCTCTCTTTGTAACCTGTTCAACCTATTACTCACTCTCCTCCCCTTGAAAAAAGAGTGAAAATATCTAGTAGTTTTATCCCCTTCCCTCTGTGATGGCCCCACCTCCTCCCAGGGCGTACCCCAGGGTTTGGCGGGTCGCCTGCCCAACTCTCGCCGGGATTCACTCACTTACTACAGCCCTTAAGTAAAATCGAAATAAATCACAGGAATAAATATAATGACGATCCACAAAACTTAACGCAAAACTTATGTGCATTACTATCTCAAAAGGGAGTACAAATATCGAATATACAAAGATTCTCACTTCACTATACAACCAGCCCGTGCCAAGCACTAGGGCGAGAACCATTACAAAAACAAGGAGCTAGACCAAGCTAGTCTATACCAAACTCTCATCCTTGCGTGCCTTCCCCTGTTAAGGAAAACAAAACTAAAGGGATGAGCTAAAAACTCAGTGAGATTCTATATACAAAAGCAAGTAATTGAACAAGGACATTAATCATTTAATAACAAATAATCCAGAAAACATGTCCAATATAAAGCAATGATAATACATTCATTAAAAGGATACAGGCTCACAAGGAGCAATTCGTTCGTTTGTTCCCTATTCATTCCCTTATTCCTCCAATTATAAAAAAAATGCATCTTTGTAAGTAAAACCCCTCATTTTTTATGTTCGTTTGTTCATTCTCATTCACCTCCTCCTGGACGTTGGCCAGGCTTTCCCCCCCATCCGGACGTTGACCGGACTCCACCCATCCGGACGTTAGCCGAACTACAAGGTAATACTCGAGTATACCAAATGTTCACCCAGGTCATCATATCGCCCGACCGAGTCCGCTTCTGGCTCGAGTCGATCGGTAACAAGGGCAAGGGCCCAGTTCAGCCAAAAAGGCTTACATCCATGCGCAACTAGTATTTCAACATTTAATCACCGAAAATTTTATATTTATTTAGGTCGAGTGCGATAAAGTACACACTCACCTAGCAAAAATTCATTTTAGAAATCATAGAAAACAATTAACATTTAATCAAATATTCACAAATAATCACATAGTCACAACAATCCTCATAGTCATAGAAACAAAGCGTATATAGAACACTCACCTATTTAAGCAAAATAATGTCCAAAGTATCCTCCCGGATAACACTCTCAATCGCCAAGAAACCCTAATAATAGCCAAGAGAAAATATGACAGTTAACCCCTCCAAAGTTTAAGTGGACCAAAGAAAGTTCAAATAACTACTAATACAAAGTGTAAGTATAGTTTTCTAGTCCTCGAGCGTAAATATGGGCAGCACGCCCTTTGTATTTTCCTATTTCCAGCCATTTATGGCTTCATTATTTTTCTCATTCAAACCCAAAGGTACACACACAACAATCTAACTTCAATAGCCGTCCAATAGGCTCAAGACAATACAAGGACAAATTCAAGTTAATATCAAGTGCGGAAATAAGCTTTAGTAAAAGACAGATTTGATGGGTTTTTGCGGAAATAACACAACCGATACTACGCTTATCGGATTGAAGTGCAACTTATAGCGTTTCAAAGCTAAGACAAAGTCCTACAACTTTCATGGAGGTCACTTAGTCAAATTTCCAGTGTAACCTGGTCAAATTCCCAAATTACAGAGCTAACTTCCAACTATACGGCTAATTATCCGCACTGCACTAGAATGGTCATATCTCAGGATACCAAGGTCCGTTTAAGGTGTTCTTGGATGCTTTGAAAAGCTAAGACAGAGTACAAAACCTTTCATGTTTTGGCAAATGGCTAAATGAGCACGGATCCTAGTGAATAAACATGATAAACTGGATGAACTGACAAAAACGGAACACTGGAAACATCCTAAAATAGTGAGGGTAATTTGGTCTTTTCACAGGTACGTTGCTCCGATTGAGGTGAAATTTTATCGGCACCTATAAAATATCATTCTCTACAACTTTCATGTTTTATGCCAAGCCTAATTCGGCCTCTAACCTAGGGCAAAGAAACCGGACAGAACAGTACTGAAATTTTCCAGAAATCTGGAATTTTGGGATTCAAAGGAAACTTTCTTCATTTCTTGCTTCAATCACTACCACCATCACTTATATAAACTTAGATACAACATATACCTCCATACAACAAGTATAGGCAGCAAAAACCTCAAACTCTAACTCATGTAACTCAAGAAAACATACACTATATCCACCCAAAACATGATAATAGCTATCATCCACCACAAATCTATGGTGCTATGCCAAGTTAAACAAGATTAAGAGTAAGAAATGGGGAAAACAGCATTATTACCTTGCTAAAATGACTACCAAGAGCAGCCCTAGCTTTTCCTTCCAAAATTTCACCAACACACCACTAGCTAAATACTCAAGGAAGGTTTTAATCGGTTTAGTTTTTTGTTTCCTCACTTGGATGATCCAAATTCAAGATGGATTAGGCAGCTCTCCCTTGGGTTTTTCTCTCTCTCTCTCTCAGACAAGATAGCAGAAAAATGAAGAAGAAAGACAGCTCCAAGGTGGTAAGAAAGCAAGGAAAAAAAATATCAACTAAGGGACCATAGGGTGGTGACACTTGTCACCACCAAAGCCATGAATTTTTCTCTCTCTCCCTTACATTTTTAGCCACAATTTCGGCCAAGAGGATGAGTATGAGGGGGGGATATTTTGCAAAAATATCAAAGGTGTGTGGTGGTAAGGAAGTGGTGGGTTCAATCGGTAGTGATCGATACCCGTCGGTTCGAGCCGATTTTCTTAAATTGCGTATACTAGGGTTTCTTTTTCCTTCTAATCACTATCACTTCTAATCATATAATATTTCCTCATCCAAAAGTCACTCTTACCTACCAAATTGGATCATCACTCGGTACCGAATAGTCATACTACGAAAAACGTGAAAACCCTAATTCGCTCTAACTTAAAACGAAAAGGGAAAAACCTTTATTTTTATGTTCATTTGAACTTATTGTGGGGTGATTGGGTGGTAGGGCTATTATAAAATCATAAGTTCCAAATAAAAGAAAGTTTTAAGAGAAACATGAGGGATTTTACAATTCCAGTGATTAAAATTAGGGTTTCAATTAAAATATGAGAGATTTAAGAAAACCAGTTAGTCACAAGTAAATTAGGGTTTTTGATTAAAATCTTAGGGTTTCTAGTCTTTTAAAACAAAATAAGGTTAAATCAAACCCAAAGAAATACACTTTAGTATTTTCTTTACAATTAACCTCCTAATTTTCAGGGTATCACACCCTCAGCCAGCTGATTCTAGACTTCTGGCTCTAGAAAGCTTCTTCCTCCTTGTAAGCATTACCCAACTGTCTTTTGAGATCCTAAAGTTCGTCTTTTTTGTTAGCTAATCCAGCATTTCTAGTCTTCTCAAGATCCTGCTTAAGGCCTTCAATTTTACTCCTAGAGTTAGCTTGGACATTATTTCTCCACTTCAAGAGTTCAATTCTGCAATTCCTAATCTTTCTAGTCACTTTGAACAATTTTGATCCCTGTTCTTCCCTATTCCAGGCTTGCTCCACCACTTACTGAATCCCCTCTTTTTGGAGCCATCTCTTGTCAAAGTAAAACCTCTTTTTTTTTTCCTTTCTATCCCTGGATTGGTGTCTAATAAAAACATCAAGTGGTCAGAAGCTAGAGTCTCAATGTGGTGACACTTAGCACTCTCAAAATCTTGAAACCAATCCATACTACCCAAACTTCTATCTAGTCTTTAACGAATTTCCCCTTCATTGTCCCAGTGATTGCTCCATGTCCAAGGGTGGCCTTCAAAACCAATATCAATTAGTCTGTTCGGCTCAATGAAATGTCTAAAGTCCCTAAAACTTCATTCCTCCCTAAACACGCCCCCCCACTTTTCTTCATTGGATAAAATGTCATTAAAATCTCCAGTGATCAGGTATCTAGATCCCCACAACCTACTTCTATCAGTTAGCACCCTCCATTGTTCCTTCCTGATCCTTTGATCACAACTAGCATACACTCCAATGAACCACCATGCCACCTGAGATTCATTACCTTCAATCTTAGCTTCTATAGTAAAAGCAATAGTGGCCACCTCTACAATTTGTGTATCCTTAGTCCAAAGTAAGGCCATCCCTCCTGCTCTATTCATAGCTTCCACAGTCAAATTGTTGTCTAGCCTTAACCTTCTAGTTATTCTATCTATGGCAGTTATCCTATTCTTAGTCTCACTTAGGAAAAAGATATTTGGAGAGGAGAGGTTATTAACCTCCCTCAGCTAGGGAACTGTCAAGGGACTCCCCACCCCTTGGCAGTTCCACACACTACTCTCATTTATACCTGGAGGTCCCATTTAGGAAGGACCTCTCCTCCTTTTCCTTAGACCCCTCAAAATACAGCTCCTCCAATTGTTTGGTTTTTTTCCTCTGAAATATATCCTGATGTGCTTCCTCCATCACTTCATCTCTAGGCAGGATCTTCCTCTTCCCCACGTTCACCTGAGTATTTTCATTACCTTGTATCACCTGCAAAGGTCTTCTGGTTCTAGCTGGAGTCTTTAATTTTCTAAAAGTTCCCCTGGTCTGTCTGTCAATTAACCCTACCATCTTATTTTCGCCTAGGGTTTCCTGGTGATACACTACGAGCTCTGATTCTTTCTCTAAGACCCTTGACTCCGGGATTTGGTTGTGCACTACTTCAACTACATCCTCCTCCATCTCTTCCTCTACATGAGAAAGCTGGAGGTCTTCCCTTTCTTGATTAATATGAGATAGCTCTAAGTCCTCCTTGTCACCTATCACCTGACCCTCCTTCCTATTATGAGAGACTGCCTTAAGAGACTCCTCTTGAGTAGAAGGTCCCACAGCCCCCTCCATTCTATTTTCCTCCCCTGCTCTTTCACATTCCTAGTTACTACATCCCCCACTGCCAGTGGCCTTGAGAACATCCAACAGACTCTGACTGCCATGCATTTTATTTTTCTCCTGTTCGATCAACTCCCCATTCCTAAAGGACCAGTAACGTCTATCACTATGCTCAGAGACTCTAACATTTTTATTCTGAGGGGAGACCCTAATATTTCCCGCTCTCATCCAGGGACCGTACTGATTCTCATCAGTACTCCCTCCTAGCAATCTCCTTTCTTTGCAAGACCTTTCACTATGTCCCACAATTTCGCAATTATAACAGAAATCTGGACACCTTTCATATTTGAAAGCTATCCATTTGCCAGTTCCTGCTATTCTGACCACAGTACCTCTTAGAAGAGGTTTAGATAGATCTACCATGACTAAGACCTTCAGATGCCTACCCTCTTTGCCTCCCATCTGAAGGATTACGACATCTCTAACTTCCTTAAACACTTCCCCTATCTTTCTTCCAATCTCCCTAGATAGCCAATGAACTGGAAGATTCCAGAGCTGTACCCAAAGAGATGCTGTCACAAAGGCTTTATAGTAATCTTCTATGCCTTCAACCCATCTTTTGAGAACAAGCATCTGGTTTTCTATTACCCAAGGCCCTCCCTCCACTGTTCTATCTTTATCTTCTGAGTTTTGTATGTTAAACTGAAACACATTTGGTCCCAGTTCCACCACTGACAAATTCTTGGGATACCCCCAGGCCACAGCCACAAAGTTTTTAATACCAGTGAAATTGATAACTTTTTCTCCTAAAACTCTCCCAATGATACTGTTTTCACAAGCTCTCACGCCAGTTTGAAAGTCTTCCCCCTCCTGCGTGAGTCCTACCAGCTCATTCCCTTCAAGGGAAAACTTCTGTAATATATCTAACAGCTCACCCTCCATGGAAAGGCTCAGCAAATTTAAGAAGGTATAACTACTCTACCCACAGGAGATAAAGACCAGGACCAAGCAGTAAAAAAAGGAATAGAGAACTAAAAAAGGACAGAAGGAAACACTAAGAAGAGGATCGAAACAGAAAAAATGCCTGCTGATAGTTACTGAGTACCACAGGTAGATTATCGTTGCTCACTTATACTCTTAAAAAGACAAAGAAAACAGAGCACTGACTCTCATTGTCCAGGCGGTAGCTTATCATAGTTGAAGATTGTGACGCTTGATCTCCCTTTCTTCATGCACTAACTAGCTTAAACGAAGTGTAGCTGCCATTAGCCTTGAATCTAAAATCCTCTCGTTCAATTACTAATGGTATATCATGATCTGGGAGTGCGGGAGAAAGAAGGTTTTGAAAAAGTTTGAAAAAAGCTAGCTTCCCACCAAAGAGGTGAGTGAGCTCTTATCCCAAGAGAGACCACAGCTACTTTAGAGTGAGAAAACCTCTACATTAGAGAGAGGATTTGCAACAACTATCATACTAGCAATGAATATGTCAATGAATTAGAAGAGTTTCTGTCCGTGTATAGGCTGGGAAAAATTTATTTACAACTGCCAACAGTTTCTAGCAACTATTCAAATCAAAAACCTTTTTTCTTTAAACAAAAAACAGCCAGAAGAATGCACAAGATTTGAGTTCAGAACCTAGAAAGGTATACATAATTCTGCATGGACAAACAGAGCCATTCAAGTTTTGAAAATAAGGTCATAATTCCAAGTTAAATCATATTGAATTTGACCAGAAAATGCAAAAACACGATAAAATTCCATGTTTTAATCTGTAAAGCCTTCAATTATGGTATTATGTGTGACGCCCCTACTTTTCCCAAGGGCGAACCCAAGGGTATCTGCAGAACGCCTGCCCAACTCTCGCCAGGACTCGGTACAAATTCAATTCAAACTTAAAGTCTAATACTAATAATGAAAATCGGAATAAAAGTACGAAGTCATTTCCATACGTAAATATTCAATTTTACATCACAATTTCAAACTTACAATTATTTTTCCCAAAATATACAACTTCCAAAAGTTGTCTAAACAAATACATTCAAAATTCTAATCAAATGAGCCATCAAGTAAGCTTTTTCATAATTTCTCCCATTTCAGCTCCTGTTAAAGGAAACAAATCTAACGGGTGAACGGATGCTCGTGAGGCCAAGAAAACATGAAAGACACGTAGTTCAATAGCAATACTACTTACACAATAATGAAAGCTATACATTCAAGTAATTCATAATTTATAATAAACACACTTGAATAGGATGAAAGAGCTCTCGGGAGCTAATTTTCAATTGCTTTGCCCAAGGTTAATTTAATACCTTCTCGTAACGACACCCCGTCACCCAGGTAGATAATCAAATTCGTAGCACTTCACTTATTCCATTTATGTTTTTGAAATGACTCGAGAGGTACCTCTCACCCAAATCGGTGTGGTACTTACTATTGTTCAGTTTATAGATCTGAGACGATTCGAGAGGTACCTCCTACCCAATTGGTGTGATACTTACTATCGTTCAGAGGTCAATGAGACATTGCTCTAATCGATTTCGAATGCTTTAGGGTTCTGAGACGATTCGAGAGGTACCTCCCACCCAATTGGTGTGGTAGTTATTATCGTTCAGAGGTCGATGAGACATCGCTCCAATCGACTTATGCAGCCATAGCATAATTAATCATTTCATGTCATTCAAGCATTTGATACATTCAAGCAGTCATTTCATTTCCATCAAGTCATGTAATTCAAGCACGAGTCATTTATTTCAAATGAGAACGAGTGCGATAAAGTACACACTCGGCTCTATTTTTAAATCTCAAGTCATTGATAACAAGTAAGCACGTATCAAGTTCTCAGGATTTCAACTATTCATGCACGTAATATCCATGTACAATTACCAATCATATTCATTCAAGTAATAAGTATCACGTAGTTACACGAGAAAGAGGACGAGGGAGATAAAGTACACCCTCACCTCCGCAAGTTTACGTATCATGTATAACATTCGTATAATTAATATCTCAATCACATAAGCATTTAACATGCACTTGACACTCACCAAGTCAACCAAGGAGAAACGTTACTTGAAGTTCAAGTGTCCACCGTAGGATCCTCTTGAAGGTCCTCGTGCGAGCCTGAGTAATTAATAGTGAATAATCACTTATAAACCCCAATTATCAAGAAAGATTGTACGCTTGTACATTTCTAGAAAATTTTCCTAAAATGAGCCTAAATTACTCGCGAACTAAGGTTCAAAAGTGGGGTTTTAAAATACAAGAGAAATCAAGTTTTCATCTTTGAAATTAAGTATAAAACGTTCAAGTAATATCGAAGGAATAAGGAGAATTTGAAAAACTCTATTTCCTTAAGATTCGGAAATTTCAGTTTTGATACGAGATCATTTGAAAGAATCGTATCTCACTCTTTACAAGTCCAAAATTAGAAAACTTGGTACCGTTGGAAAACTCTTAGAAAGTACTAAAAATTCCTAGAAGACACCTTTCCAGGATTCCAAATGAAAGGTATCAAAAATTTAGCTCAAAATTGCTGTTTTGGGGCAATGAAAACAGGTTTAGGTTGGTTTTTGGCCAACTTTGAAAATTCGGCAAAATTCACTTGATTCGAACTAACCCCTGAAATTTGGAACTCTATTAGAGTTGCTATCCAAGTTTACAACAAAATAAGTAGAATGAGAAACGGAGTTTTGAGCACTAAGATATGGCAACTCAAAGTTACCAAAATTCTCTTGTGAAACAAGAGTTTTCCAAACTCGAGTCATGAACTTGGGTAATTTAGTCGAGCAGTGAAATGGACTCAGATTGGTACCCAATTTAGCAATATAATACTCCTATATAAAGGGTATCCCTCTATCAAATTTCATGGAAAAATACTTTCGGGAAGGTAGTCAACCAAACAACCAAAGTTTCGAAAAATCCTAAGGCAAAACTGCCTTGAGCTTTTTGTTTTCCATTCCGAAAAGCCTAAGGAACATTCATGGTACATTTGATAAGTGTTTTAACTCCAAGAAATTCAATCGGCAAGTCCACACCAAGTCTAGCATCAATTCTGCCCAAAATTTAGGGTTTTCAAGAACAGGGCAGGATTCGTATTTTGATCACAAATCACTCAATTCAACTCAGAATTGAGCATGGTTTGTGACGTTGAAAAATAAATTCATAAAACTATAATTTCACAGAAGAAATCGTTTTGAAATTCAGCACACAACTAGCTCAAATTCGAGCCTCAAGTTGCAGCTTCTGAACTTCGTTCCAGGGAAACAGAGAAACAGGACAGTCATCTTTAAACAGTTGGTACGGAATACTCGGGCGGAATTAGAGGTTGTATTTTATACCGATGGAAAGCTGGGAATGTCTAGTTTCAAATGCCACTGACGGCACTTGATATTGATGTCGGAGCACAGAGTTATGGACAAAACAAAGAGGCTGTCTGAGCATTACCGGGAAATTTTTCCAGGTTTGCTAGCTTTGCGAGATTAATCCATTTGACCAACCAAACCTCAATATTTTTTTATGAAACTTTATACACCATCTATACAATATATAAACATCATATACAAGCCATTAAAACCTCAAAATTCTGCAAAAAGAGGCACGATCATAACAGGGGCAGAATTGAAAACTTTACATCCATGCACTGCTTGAAGTTTATACTAGCTATGCACTATTAATCTACCAATTTGAGCACTAAACCAACATTAAATCCATCATCAAGCATCACATCAGACATCAATCCAAGAGTGGGAGTTCATAGAGCCCACCCAACAATTTTTCCAACATAACAAGCTACCCATGAGAATCCAAGAGCTCATGAGTGTAATCTAACTTCCATAAATCAAGATTTGAAGGTTCAATCGTTTGTTACCTCTTTAGATGATAAAACCAGAAATTTTGGTCACCAAAACTCCAAGAAAAGCCGTGAGATGATGCCCTTCTTCTAGCTTAAGTTGCTCTCCAAGTGAAGTGGAAGTTGTGTGATGATTTGATGAAGGAATGAAGCAAGAAGTTTGGAGAGCTTTGGGTTGTTTTTCTTCTCTTGGTGCATGGCTGGAACAAGGAAGAAGAAGAGTGGCATTGCTGATGAAGAAGCTTCCTTGTGAAGCTTATAAATTTGTGGACAAGAATTACTCCAAAAGTCAACTCTTTTTTCTCGCGCGCGCGCGTGCGTTTCGTGCTCGATTCTTCTCGAGTTTGTTTCACTAGTGCACTAAACCTCTAATGCACTTGTATTCATACTATTATTATTCACTCTTAATAGTCTAAAAGTAATGGTCTTAAGTCCCTCAATTAATCGCGCGCGTAAAAACGCGTACTTCCGATTTAAACGCAATAAAATGAAATTTCTAAGAAATTCTTATAACGATAGTATAACTAACTAACATTTGAACACTTAAACATAAAATACCTATTTTAAGACTATGGTACAAGTCTCCAAATTTTCAGGCTTATTGTATCATCGATTCAATTATTATTTCCAACCGCGCATTCACTATTCACACTTAACGAACTTCCAAAAATTAAATTTTGAAACAAGTCACTTTAAAAATATAACTAAGCTATAGATCCATGTAATTAGGTCTAAAAAGATTAGAAAATAATATTCGGGGCAATTGGTCAAATAAATAATTAAATGAGCTAGAATTAGGAGTTTAAAATAAGAAAATTTGTGAGTTCTCACACAAGTCTAGTATTAATTTTTCAAGTCTCCAATTTGTCATGCGGTACAACTTTTGAGGAATTATCGACGTACGCATAATAAAAATTTATTTAAATCAATCACATCTAAGCTCTCAATTAACTTGTCTTAACCTGCTAGTAATCATTCCTAATCCTCCAAGATTGTTGCACTGTCGAATCAAATATTATCTCGAAAAATATATATATTCACTTATTCCTCGATAATCGAGTCACAAAAAAAATTAATTTGCTAACAGGATGTT